GCACTGTCATCTCTTTGGCGTGACAACACGCTGCCGACCACGACATGCAATTAGTCTGCATCGGCTCCCCGACACGAGGAGGCCGCGACTTCCTGGCAAAGCGTGCAAAAATGAATGCTCATCACCAGCTGGTGATTCTTTGGCGTGAACACACGCTTGAGTGGCCTGGTCTTCAGCCACCTCTTGCTCCCCCCCTCACACCTTCTCCTCCTCCATATCCCTCTCCTTCTCCTCCCCCTAGCGCGTGCTATTGGTCTGAATCGGTTCACCTAAACGAGGCGGCCGAAATTGTCTGGCAAAGCGTGGGGACTTGTGGAATACAGTTCGCCAGCTCGTGATTCTTTGGCGTGAACGCACGCTTGAGTGGCTCGGTCTTTGGCCACCTCCAACTCCTCCACCCCTTCCTCGCCCTCCTCCTCCTCTTCCTTCCGTCCCTCCCCACCCCAGTGCGTGCACCTACTCTGAATCGGGCTCCGCTGAACGCACCCGCTCCACGGGCTACCAGAAAAGCTCTGACACGGGAATGCCGCGGTGGGCGGCTTCGAGCTCCAGCATGCTTTGGGCAACAGGGCCCGTAGACCACAGGAGCGCGTTTACTTCCAGCCGCTTCCGCTTTTTGTGCACGCATTCCGCGTTCTCTTGGGTGTCCTGAGTAACCTGCTGACACGCTTGGAGAATCCCCTCCTGCGCGACCCGCGACTCCTCCAATACTGCCTCGCACTTGGCGCGCTGTTCCGTTCTTTGCTGAATCGACCGAGCGATCTCCTCCAATCGATTCTGCAGCGAGGACACGTCCTCGCGAATGGAGGCCTGCAGCCCCGTCTCGCGCGCGATCTCCTTGTCAAGTTCTTCACGCTTCTGTCGGAGTGCGCTCATGGCTGCAGCGACCTCGGAAAAGGAATCGTCCCGGGCCCTTCCACGCTTGCCCAAACTGCCGGTGCTTGCAGACCCGGGCGTCGACGCAGATCCTGCGCATGGTGACCGCTCCATTGCCCCGGCCTTCCCGTCAGCTCTAGTGAATCACCCGAGACACCCCCACTGAAGCACGAACGCAAACGCCCGCGTGCAGATGCACTCGCTTGAGCCAGTAGGCCACACAATAGGTTTCATGCGAAAGCCTGGGTCCAGCTAACTGGAGTACCTCGGAGTACCTCTTGAAGGGTGCTTCCCAACAAATCGGTTTCAGCTAAGTGGAGTCTTTCCAAACAATAGGTTTCATGCGAAAACCTGGGTCCAGTTAAGTGGAGCACCTCGGAGTACCTCTTGAAGGGTGTTTTCCCAAACGATAGGTGTCATGCGAAAGCCTGGGTCCAGCTAAGCGGAATGCCTCGGAGTTCCTCTTGAAGGGTGTTTTCCCAAACAATAGGTTTCAGCTACGTGGAACACATGGGAGTACCTCTTGAAGGGTGTTTCCCCAAACAGTAGGTTTCATGCGAAAGCCTGGGTCCAGCTCAGTGGAGCACCTCGGAGTCCCTCTTGAAGGGTGTTTCCCCACACAAGAGGTCTCATGCGAAAGCCTGGGCCCAGCTAAGTGGAGTACCTCGGAGTACCTCTTGAAGGGCGTTTTCCCAAACAATAGGTTTCAGCAAAGTGGAGTACATGAGAGTACCTCTTGAAGGGCGTCTTCCCCAACAATCGGTTTCATGCGAAAGACTGTGCCTCGGAGTACCTCTTCAAGGGCGTTTTCCCAAACAATGGGTTTCAGCTCAGCGGAGTACATGGGAGTACATCGCGAGAGGTGTTTTCCCAAACAATGGGTTTCATGCGAAAACCTGGGTCCAGCTAAGCGGAGTACCTCGGAGTACCTCTTGAAGGGTGTTTTCCCAAACACTAGGTTTCATGCGAAAGCCTAGGTTTCATGCGACACCCATGGAGTCTGCCGCACTCGACGCCGGCAAAGCCTTCGGCACGGCCCCCAAACACGTTTCCCAGAAGCCCCACTAACCCCCACAATAGAGGATGTTTGATCCCCGACAACGACAGAATCGACGACGACGGCGCGACCACTACCGCCGCCGCCGTCGATGCCGACGCCGTCGACGTCGAGGCGCCGGCGAGGGTTCTTTTCGTTTGTTGGTTGTTCGTTGTTTGTTTTTGTCGTGGTCCTCGCCCGCGACCCGCCCGCGACCCACCCACGACCCACGCGCGACCTGACCGCGGCCCACCCACATTGCCTTGACAAACAGCTGGCGCCTGCGGCGACCTCATTGTGTAGTGTAAAAATCGGTGCCTCCGACAGTATCCTCGTCGCCCCCGAGTTCTTCTCGATGCCGCCCCCCTGCGCAGTCCTCCAGGGAGTCCCTGAAGTTGATGATGTTGCTCAGGTCTGCAGCGCGAGCCTCCCCTCCCCGTCCACCCCTCTCCTCCGCCGCCTCCCCCTCTCGAAGAACAACAAAAAACACAAACATGCACTTTCGGAGCTCCGCGTGCATTTCTTGGATGGGCGCTGGACCCCCACCCCGGCGGCGCCTCCGAGGCCGCCCATGGCGCGTTCCGCGCGCCAGGGAGGGGGGTCCAGTGCCGCTCCAGGACGTCGGCGCGGAGTCCCGACAGTTTATGTGTACGATGTCTTTGCGCCTCGATCCTCCGCCCCGGCCTTGCCGCAGGACGACGACAACAGAAAGCATCGTGCTGGGCAGCAGCTGGCCTGTGGCAGGCCCGTCTGCCTGTCTCGCTGGCCTCGCCCCGTGCGAAGCAAGAAGTATGGTTCCCCGACGCGTGTGAGTCCACTTTCGGCTCCAAGTCCAGACCTCTCTTTTGCTGAATACACAACAAAGCCGATGACACATCTCTGACGGGGCCCATAGACCCGAAATAGGGAGAGAGGGGAAAAAACATCTTTGAATAAAAAAATGATCGCTCTTACCTGCTCGCGTGCCATTCAACGCGTATCCCATGCCCTCGATACCCGCCCCTTCGTCGTCGATCGTACCCCCTTTGGGGAATATCTTTCTTCCCTGCCACGTGTATTCGGCGCGGCCCCTGAGGCAAGGGAAGAGAGGACGGATGGAAGGAGAGGACAAGGGGGAGGGAGGAAGATGGAGCACGAGAGAGAGTAGCAGGATGGGGGGGCTAGTAGCAGAAAACACGCTGCAGAACCAGACGGGCAGATCGGGCGGCTAGACCCTAACAGGCGGGTCGGGAAGGCGGGCCCAGGCGGCCAAGTCGAGCACGGCGGCTCGCCGAAGCGTGCGCCTTGCACGAATCGCGAGGAGGCCTCGGGAGACAGCGCGATTCCAAAACAAATCGCAAGGAGATCCACGGCTAGAGAGCGTGCCTCTAAAAAGGCGTCTCCCCTCCCCCTCATTACCCCCCTCTGCGCGCCGCCGTTGCCAGCTGCAGGGCGACAAAACGCTACAGTCAGCCCGTGTGGTGAGGAGGCGCGACGATGATGCCAGGGCCCTGGACGCCCACTTCTTAAGGCTGACGCCAGGGAGGGGAGCAGCTCAGGGGGGGGAAACCTCGACCCTGAATAGGCCATGCAGTAGGGGCCCGTCCACATGAGACCTCCCAGGGGGTACAGCGCAGATCCAAGAAACCCGCGCGGAGCGCCAAAAGTTTATGCTTATGCCGTTTCTCTTCTTCGAACATCGCCGATAGATGGGCGATGGGTTCCCGATAGCGAAGCCCGATGTTCCTGCGCGGGATGGACTGTCGGAGCCCTTTCGGCGACGAGTGGGCGATTGGAGGTCGATGCACATCCCCCGCTGAGCACATTCCCCCCCAAATGTTGCCACGAGCCGATCCCCCCCCAGCGTTGCCCCTGACCTCTTTCCTCACCACTCCTCCCTCCCAACATCTCCGCAGATCTGAGAAATTCAGCCGGCGGTCCTTCCTGAGCCTAAGCCTGTGCCGCCCTGATGTTGCCCCTGACCCTTCACGCACCCCCGCGGCGCCGGAGACTCCGGCGGGCCGCTGCCGCCTGCGGCGACCGCTGCCCTGGGGAACGGGGGGCGGGGCGCTCGGGCGCCAGGCCGACGCGGTCATCGCCCTCGGTTTCGCCTCTCCTCGTCCTCCTCCTCCTGCTCCTCCTCCTGCTCATCCTCCTGCTCCTGCTCCTCCTCCTGCTCCTCCTGCTCCTCCTGCTCCTCCTCCTCCTCCTCCTCCGCCACCGCCTCCTCCTGCTCCTCCTCCTCCTGCTCCTGCTCCTGCTCCTGCTCCTGCTCCTGCTCCTCCTCCTCCTCCTCCTCCTCCTCCTCCTCCTCCGCCTCCTCCTCATCATCAACACCAACATCATCATCATCATCATCATCATCACCACCATCATCATCATCATCATCATCATCACGGTCATCAACATCATCGGGACACCACCATCATCATCATCATCCATCATCATCATCACCATCATCACAATCATCATCATCATCATCATCAACATCATCATCAGCAGCAGCAGCGGGACACAGTCATCGTCATCATCATCAGCAGCAGCAGCATCATCATCGGGACACCGTCATCATCATCCCATCCTCATCATCGACATCATCATCATCATCATCATCATCATCACCAACATCATCAGCATGATCATCATACTTACCAACATCACCATCAACATCATCATCATCATCACCATCGGGACGCCATCATCATCATCAACATCATCATCATCACCATCAGAATAATCATCATCGGGACGCCATAATCATCATCAACGTCATCATCATCAACATCATCATCATCGGGACACATTCATAATCAGCATCATCAACATCAACATCATCATACTCATCTTCATCGGGACACCATCATCGGCAGCATCATGATCATCATCATCCTCATCATCGGGACACCATCAGCATCATCATCATCATCATCAACATCAACATCAACATCATCATCATCATCGCCATCATCAACATCATCTCATCATCATTACCATCCTCATCATAATCATCATCATAATCATCAGCAACATCATCATCGGGACACCGACGGGACACCGACGACGACGACGACGAGGGGCCGTCGCCGCGGAGCCCGGGTGGCGATCGCGCCTACATCATCGCCATCTGCTGCGCCAGCTGGGCCCTCTTCGCCTTCGCCGGCGGGGGGGCCATAGCTCTTGGCGTCGTCGTCGGCTTTTCGAAGTTTTCGCCCCCTGGAGGCCGTTTGCGGGCTTCGTCCTTCAACGGACCCGAGGTGCAACTCTGCGTCGGAAGGACCCCGGGAGAGCTACCGGGGCCGACTTCGAGCAGATCTTGGCCGCCTGGAAGTCCCCGGGCGTCCTCCTCCTCCTCCTCCCTCCTCGTTCCTCCTCCCCCTCTTCCTCCTCCTCCTCCCCCCTTGTCCAGGGGTGCGTTCTGACCAGGAGTCCGAGGCAGACTCAGCCGTGGCCGCGAGAGCGCGCAAAAGAACCAGAAACTGACAAAAACCCAAAGAAAGCCTCAGTCCTCCAACCTGAAACCTCGATCCACGATCGTCGACGACGACGAGGGCGCGGCCGCGAGCGCAGCGGGGGGCCAAACCCCGCGCGGAAAGGCGGGCGATGACAAGGCCGCGGCAGGTTCAGCCAGACCAGTCTCTTGGCCCCCGCGGACCAGACCGAAAACGGGAAGTGGAGTAAGTGGAGTACCCCGGAGTACCTGTTGAAGGATGTTTTCCCAAACGATAGGTTTCCTTCGAAAGCATGGGCCCAGCTAAGTGGAGTCCCTCGGAGTACCTCTTGAAGGGTGTTTTCCCAAACAATAGGTTTCAGCTAAGTGGAGTACATGGGAGTACCTCATGAAGGGTGTTTCCCCAAACAATAGGTTTCAGGCGAAACCCTGGGTCCAGGTAAGTCGAGTACCCCGGAGTACATCTTAAGGGCGTTCTCCCAAACAATAGGTTTCATGCGAAAGCCTGGGCCCAGCTAATTGGAGTACCTCGGAGTACCTCTTGAAGGGTGTTTCCCCCGAAGAATAGGTTTCCTGCGAAAGCCTGGGTCCAGCTAAGTGGAGTATCTCGGAGTACCTCTTGACGGGTGTTTTCCCGAACAATAGGTTTCATGCGAAAGCCTGGGCCCAGCTAAGTGGAGTACCTCGGAGTACCTCTCGAATGGTGTTTTCCCACACAATAGGTTTCATGTGAAAGCCTGGGTCCCACTAAGTGGAGTACTTCGGAGTACCTCTTGAAGGGTGGTTTCCCAAACAGTCGGTTTCAGCTAAGTGGGATACATGGGAGTACATCTTGAAGGGTGTTTTTCCAAACATTAGGTTTCGTGTGCAAGCGCCTGGGCCAAGCTAAGTGGAGCACCTCGGAGTACCTCTTCAAGGGTGTTTTCCCAAAGGTTTCAGCTAAGTGGAGTACATGGGAGTACCTCTTGAAGGGTGTTTTCCAAAACAATGGGTTTCATGCGAAAGCCTGGGTCCAGCTAAGTGGAGTACCTGGGAGTACCTCTTCAAGGGTGTTCTCCCGAACAATAGGTTTCATGCGAAAGCCTGAGTCGAGTAAATATGGAGCACCTCGGAATACCTCTCGAAGGGCGTTTCCCCAAACACTAGGTATCATGCGAACGCCTGGGTCCAGCTAGGTGGAGTACCTCGAAGTACCTCTCGAAGGTGTTTTCCCAAACAATAAGTTGCATGCGAAAGCCTGGGTCCAGCTAAGTGGAGCACCTCGAAGTGCCTCTTGAAGGGTGTTTTCCCAAACAATTGGTTTCAGCTCAGTTGAGTACATGGGAGTACCTCCTGAAGGACGTTTTCCGAAACAATAGGTTTCATGCGAATGCCCGGGTCCAGCTACGTGGAGTACCTACTTCCACCGCACGGTTGCAACTACGGGGTACTCGAATAGAGGGGGTGCCGTTGAGTGTACCCAGGGTGGAAATACTGATGGCATGGCACAGGCGTTCTGGGCACCGTCGAGCACGCGAGTTCGTGAAATTGTCAACCTCGCCGCTGCTGCCGCCGCCGCCGTAGCCCTCGTTCTCGTCTCCATCGTCATCGTCGTCGTCGTCGTCGTCGTCTCCGTCTTTGTCAACGTCTTTGTCGTCACTGTCGTCATCGTCGTCGTCCTCGTCGTCGTCGTCATCGTCGTCGTCCTCGTCGTCATCGTCGTCATCGTCGTCGTCGTCATCGTCGTCGCCGTCGTCCTCCTCCTCCTCCTCCTCCTCATCCTCGTTCTCCTCCTGCTCCGGTTGCTCCTTTTCCTCCACCTCCTCCTCTCCACTTCCCCCTGCGCCGATATGCGTTCAGAATGACTCGTCGGCGTCGTGGCTGCCACCGCCAACGTCGTCGTCACCTTCGTCGCTGTCGTCGTCATCGCCGTCGCCACCGCCGCCGCAGGCGACGGCGACGACGCCGACAGCGACCCGCCCGAGACTTTTTCTACGGCACCACTATTTCCTTAGCCCAGTCTTTGCTGAATACACAATCGTGGTGTCACACAATGTTTTCCTATTGTGGATGTGCGACCAACTGTGGGCTCTTGCCTCCGACCTCCATTTGTCGCCGTATATCTTACACAAGTCCGCCACCACGCCCCCAGGCACGGCGTCCATGGCTTGCAAAACATGCTGCTTGACGCCCCGTCAATTCCTGAGACATACGCGACCACCGCCGAAACCCGGAACCACCGGCCCCAGCAGCCAGGGGGCTCCCCGAGGAGGCCCCAGGAGGCCACAGGAGGCGACAGGAAGCCCCAGGAGGTCCCAGACATCCCCAGGAGGCCGAGGCCCCAGGAGGCCCCAGGAGACCCTGGAGGCGCCAGGACCCCTCAGGATGCTCCGGGAGGCCACAGGGAGCCCCGGGTGCTGAAACCAGCGCCTCGCCTGAGGCATCCTCGCAATCTGCTGTGCAGTAGACTGGGAGACGTGGGAGACTTGCGGCAGTTTGGAGACTTCAGAGACTTGGGGGAAATGGGAGACATGGACGACTTGAGATGCTTGGGAGACATGAGTGCTGGACAAGCCTGTGAAAACACCCCCGGCGGCTCCCCTTCGGGGTGATAGCGCCCCGCCTGAAACATCCTCACAAACTGCTCGAAACGCAGACGAGTCTGCCCACCCAAACAGGCAAACCGCCTGAGACATCGCCACAAAACGGCCGCGAACGGGCCCGTGATATACCCCCTGGAGATTCCCCTTGGGGGTGCTGAACCCAGCGCCCCGCCTGAGACATCCTCACAACTTGCTCTCAAAGCAGACGATCGTGGCCACCAAAACAGCCAAACCGGCCGAGACATCCCCACAAAATGGCCGCGAACGGGCCCGTGATATACCCCCTGGCGGCTCCGCTTAGGGGTGCTGAAACCAGCGCCCCGCCAGAGACATCCTCACAATTTGCTTTCAAAGCAGACGATAGTGGCCACCAACACAGCCAAACCGTCTGAGACATCCCCACAAATACCCACTGGCGGCCCCCCTCAGAAGTGCTGAAACCAACGCCCCCACCGAGACATCCTTTAAATTTGCTGTCATCGCAAACGATGTTGGGCACCGAAACAGGCCAACCGCTTGAGACATCCCCACAAACTGGCCGCGAACGGGCCCGTGATATACCCCCTGGCGGCTCCCCTTAGGGGTGCTGAAACCAGCGCCCCGCCTGAGACATCCTCACAATCTGCTGTCATCGAAAACGATGTTGGGCACCGAAACAGGCAAACCGCCTGAGACATTCCCACAAGCTGGCCGCGAACGGGCCCGTGATATACCCCCTGGCGGCTCCCCTTAAGGGTGCTGAAACCAGCGCCCCGCCTGGGACATCCTCGCAATCTGCTGTCATCGCAAACGATGTTGGGCATCGAACCAAGCAAACCGCCTGAGACATCCCCACAAACTGGCCGCGAACGGGCCCGTGATATACCCCCTGGCGGCTCCCCTTAGGGGTGCTGACACCAGCGCCCCGCCTGAGACATCCTCACAATCTGCTGTCATCGCAAACGATGTTGAGCACCGAAACAGGCAAACCGCCTGAGACATCCCCACAAACTGGCCGCGAACGGGCCCGTGATCTACCCCCTGGCGGCTCCCCTTAGGGATGCTGACACCAGCGCCCGGCCTAACGCGTCCTCACAATCTGCTGTGTGTTGGGTAAACCTGAGTATGAGCAAACCTGAGTATGAGTACGTCTGGGTATGACTAAACCTGAGTACGAGAAAGTCTGTGTATGAGTAGGTCTGTGTATAAGTAGGTATGTGTATGAATAAGTCTATTTAGGAGTACGTATGGGTATGAGTAAGTCTGGGTATGGGTAAATCTGATTATGACTACGACTGGGTATGAGTACACCTGAGTATGAGTAAGTGTGTGTATGAGTAGGGCTGTGTATGAGTATGTGTGTGTATGAATAAGTCTGTGTCTGAGTACGCATGGTTATGAGTAGGTCTGCGTATGAGTAAGTCTGAGTATGAGTGCGTCCTTCTAAAACCGACAGGAGGGGAGGAGGAAAGAGGAGGAGGAAGAATAAGGAGTAGGAGGCATCCAAATAATAACAAGAGCCCCATCGTAGGATATGGGGAAAAACACGTCAGAAATGCGGAATTCGCCGCAGGCCGCGAGATAATCGTTCAAGTGCCCCATGCACTTAACAGAGAAGCCATGGATCAATGGGACAGTCCGAAGGCCTTCAAAAGTAACGTGCTCATCAGGATACGCCTCTTTTGCGCTCACCGCGTAACCTGTGCTTTTGAAGTGTACAATATCCACGTATGGCCATGTCCACTCATGATCCCCTCCCAGCCTCCGACCGTTGTACGCTCTGGGGATCGACTGCCCACCCGCGCGAAAGAAAATACGATCCAACCCCGACGACGTCGACGCCCACGTCAAACCGAAACTGCCGGACCTTTCGGCGCGAAACCGCACTTCATCTCGGTAGGACACGGGAACACCGATATCAAAGTCATCGTCCCAGGGGAGCACCGCTTTGTCGCGGCCCAACCCGAGTGCACTGCCTTGAATCACAGTATACGGGATCCCACCCGCCCACAGGAGGCATGAAGACTGGCGTTTTCATTTCTTTTCTTTCCTCCCCATCCTGACCTCTATTCATACTACTGGTGTCCCAGATGATGCTCCAATTACTACGTATCCTCGTACTCGTACTACTACTACTACTAC